TTTTGAAAAGTCTGTAAACATTTGGGAACTGAGAAGACCAGCTGTTGGATTTTTTAGGAGAGGAATATTGTCCTATTCTTGTCTGATGGAGGATTCTCACTGCTCAGCACTCCTGGGTCCTCTTGGTCATATTTTTCATTTTATGATATGCCAAATGTTATCAGTTGGTGAAAGATCTAGGCTAAAATTCAGCACACAGACTCTTCTACAGCCATGCTGTTGTAATACGTGTAGTATGTGGATTAGCATTGTCTTGCTACTTATGCATAGCATTCCCTTAAAAAAAACATTATCACAATTGTAATATATAGTACTCTAAAACTTGTAATAAAGTTGTCAGGGTTGATGGTGCTTTTCCAGATGTGCAAGCTACTAATTCCATAGGCACTGATGCACCACTATAGCATCAAAGACAGAGGCAGAGTGTTAATAATAAACCAGATGGTCCCTCTACTCTTTAGTCTGGAGGACTGCATATATTATTTGCCTATATTATAGTATATAATATTTAATATTTTGATGTAGACTAGAAATTGATGTGAAAAAAATCATGCACCATTCATTTCTTATAAATCTTATTTTGTATCAGGCTCTAAACGTGATTTCAGGCATATTAACATGGAAATCGATGGAGATTGACTAACTCCATGAATGGCATTTTCTTTCACTTCTACTTTGTTTCATTTGTGCAAAAAAAACAACAACCAAAAACCACATTTAAAGAAGCACAAAGCCCTCCTAAAACAATAATCTAACATAATGAGGTTTCAAACTGATCAGCTTAGATATTAAATGTGCCACCTTTTTCATTTATGGATGGAGGGATCCGCTTTGGCCTCAGTTTATACCTTTCAGTGCAGAATTAGTTTTACTTCTCCATATTGTACCTGGCAGGTAAAATGACTTCAGGCTTACTACTGTTACAGTAATCTGATTAGTACGACTCAGATTAAACCACTGCACACCACAGTAAGAGACCAGCACTTTCCACCATCACACAGTCAGTGGTTTGTTCACAAAGATTTTGTCCAAAAGTCAGTGACAAAGGTGTGTTTGTGTTTATTTAGGATTTTGTCTTCTTATTGAACTTAAATCTAGAGACAGAACAGGTGGATGTGGCATTTTAACAACATGAACAGTGTTGTGTGTTTTGTGACTTTAAGGATTAGAATTTGAGATCAAAACTTGGTCATGAGGTAAAAGCAGAAGCAGGCCGAGCTTCTGTTTTTATGCAAATAATGTATAGACTACAGTATGTTTAAGTTCATCTGGCTGACAGGTGACACAGTGTGAATGTCTTACATGGCAGACGTAGTGCATAGGGTGCAGCATTCATAAAGCACAGATCCACCCTTGGTGAGGATACTTAACACATTCCACATCAGTGTGCTGTCTTTCCAACTATTCCGAGGCTTGTAACAACAAGCGCCCGCGTGCAGAAGCAACACGTATACGAACAGTGAAAATATCTCATTAAGCTCTGGGTGAAATACAGCATATTTTGTCTTTTTATACCCCAATATGACAAACACTCTAGAGAACATGTAGTACAAAAACAAAGTATCTGCATGATGTTTCCTATGCACAGTTTGGCAAACTCGCTCTGCAAGTTTATTCAACATGATTTATTACAGAAGCATACTCTGTGTGCCTGACAAATGTTAAAGGGTTGGGG